GATGGTAGTGGGGTATTATAGAGCATGGCTGGGTGTGTGATGGTAGTGGGGTATTATAGATCATGGCTGGGTGTGTGATGCTAGTGGGGTATTATAGAGCATGGCTGGGTGTGTGATTGTAGTGGGGTATTATAGAGCATGGCTGGGTGCGTGATGGTAGTGGGGTATTATAGAACATGGCTGGGTGTGTGATGCTAGTGGCGTATTATAGAGCATGGCTGGGTGTGTGATGCTAGTGGGGTATTATAGATCATGGCTGGGTGTGATGGTAGTGGGGTATTATAGAGCATGGCTGGGTGTGTGATGCTAGTGGGGTATTATAGAGCATGGCTGGGTGTGTGATGCTAGTGGGGTATTATAGAACATGGCTTGGTGTGTGATGCTAGTGGGGTATTATAGAACATGGCTGGGTGTGTGTGATGTTAGTGGGGTATTCTAGAGCTTTATAATAGTCAAACAACTCCACGAAGCCCTATATGACCATACTAAGTGTAAAATTGTAGATTTTTACGTAAATAACACCAATTCTAGGCATTGCTCCCGGTGCTAATATTACTTTAATATTTTACACACTTTATCAGGCGGAACACACTTGCAGAAGCACGAAAGCTACTAATTCACGTGAATGCACACATCACGGTCTCCTGTGCCGTACACGTTTGACAACCGCAGAAAACAAGGTGCCAGTGTTCGTATGTAAACGGTTACAATCCCTGTCGAACCATCGCGATGGGAGCACTCCCTCCGATGCCGATTGAACGCCACTTGAGTTCCCTGGATTGCAATCAACTAGCAACACTTGCTTAAGAGTTGAGTGACAGTGACACAATTGAAGCGCTTCACTGCGGATCAATAATGCCGTAGAGGGCAGCCTCGCCCAGCAGCAGCAAAGCAATCGGTTGCCTTTCACAACGCTCTCTGGAGAAGGCCGGTACCCCGAGCCATCGAGTCTGGGCTGGACCACAGCCATCTTGCCGTGCTGCACTCAGGTGCTCAATCATAATCCCCCAGCCAAACACAAAGGACAGGCGGGATACGTAACGGCATGTCATGCGGTTACAAAACCGGTTATGCTCTAGAATGCATCGCTGCAGGGGTGCAGACGTTTGACAGTGAATTGGCCGTGCACTTTGGAGGTTGGCTAACTGGCTTGGTGAATCTACCCCTGCCTGTAAAGATCCAGCAAACCAGGCTGAAGGCTGCTTTCTGCGGTGGGAAACGTTTCTCTGTGACAAGCTACTAAATTTGTCGTAGCGTGTGCATTGCATATTGCAACGTATAAATGTCATTACTCTTTGGTTATTTCGGTAAAGTCACGTAGGTAGAAAAACAAAACAAAATAAAAATAATGTCATTCTTAAGGTTTCAGTGGTTGAATTTGCAAATACATTTGCGGCAGGGCGGGGCTCATGTTTAGCTGGTGGTGGTTATGTGACAGAATATTATTGCATGCGAGGTGTGGTGTTGCACGACTAATATTACATCGTATTATATTGTAAAACGCAACCGTTTAAAAATAATGCATTTTGTTGTTGATCAAAAACGATTGTGGATCAGAATGATCTGCGGGTTACTGGGCTGCTCCGTGCTGTTTGCAGGCCACTGTCGTGCATTCTGCATTTGGCATCAAAGGCTTCTCTACTCATCTGCTAAAGGACCCACTTGTTCTGCAGCAAATGTGGTTTGTATCCACATTGAGCGAGGTGTTTCGAGTGACAGGGCACAAAGTGTGTGTATAAAATGCCCTGAAACTTGTTTTCGCTATTTGCGTTGTATAGTTTTATTTACACAATTGCACGGCCACTTTGGCATACATCATGAGTTTAACCTTTAGAGACGTCACCAAAAAAAGTGTACGGCTTAATTCAATGACTATCTTATTTCAGGTGTAAGCTAACGGCAGCAACAGTACAATGTACACAAGGCAATGCTGTGATACAAGACTTCAGCTTTAAGGTTCGAGAGGTCATATTCTATACTCTTTAGTTCTTTGGGTAAAGTCACGTTATACCTACGTGACTTTACCGAAAGAACCAAAGAGTATGGATTCCTGCAGTCACGAAAGCTTCAAATCAAGGTCATATTCTCTTTGGCCTGATTCAATGTTATAAAAGGTTGCTTTTAAAGGTTTCCATTTCCGATTGATAAATGCCGTGCAGCTTTTGGTGACTGCATGTGTATGCTAAGAGAGGGATCTTTGTATTTGTATGCACATCAAGGTCAAAAGGTCATGGTGCCCAATGCCGGTCATGGTGCCACATCTCATCATCACTTCCTTCTGCAAGATGCCACAAAAGTTTTGCACAGTTGACACTCGACCTCCAAAGTCTGCTCTTGCAGTGTTTGGCGGCTATAAATTTCCACGCGACAAGCTACTTTGTTGAGCTCCCTTTTGTGGCCAGGTTGCTTCTGAAAAATAAGCTAATAGCTTAGTGGGCTTTTCTTACCTTCCCTATACTTTGTGCTGCTATCGTGTTTTTTGTATTGAACGTGTGTGAAAAAGAGCTTTATAGCTCATCGGATTCCTCCAGTTTAAATAAAGACTGATTTTGTATGGCACCGTCTGGCTTCGGGTCTCGCCTTGGTTGCCGACCTCTGGACACTCACTATCATGCCCATCTCCATAACCAGCATTCCTCTATCCTGCACGTGCCCCCCCCCACCACCCATCACAACCTACTCCTCTACTTTCCTAAATGTTCTCATTCAAAACGTCACTATCTCACAATTAAATTCCTAACAGCCTCTGCTTGCACGTGTACTCTAACTCTACCTTCGTATGTTTCTATACCTCCTCGATACGAGGGCTGGATAACAAACTAAACCTAAAAAATAATCATTCCATTTTATGTTGATTAACTGTGAGCAGCCAATAATATTCTCCACATACTCTTAGATTAACATAATGTATGTTGATTAACTGTGAATAACCCAACCAACAATAGGTACAGCATATTCTCAGATTAACATGATCCAAGGTAATTTATGACTGCATTAACCCCCCTCTGGTCACCTGATAGGCCCACAGGGATGACATCACCTTTACGCCCTCCATTTAAGACCGAAAGAGGACTTCTTCACAATTCTGGCTATTGCCTGATGAAGCTGGTTGAAATCACCAGGGAAAGATCGTACTCGAATTGTAAATGTTGTGGGTTTACTCTCCAACACACCGGTGTGCTAAAGTAGTAACTAAATGGCACAGTTTGTTTACATGACAAACCTTACTAATAGGCTGTGGCGGGTGTAACGGCAGATTTATATTTCCGCGTTCTAACCCAAAAAACATTTATTGTGGAGATGGACTATCCTACACCACAGGGCCCTGTCTTCGGCAGTTCTTGCGAGTCGTCGCATGCTGTGCACTGTCCAAGCAACGGTGTCGTCAATCCGAGTTTTACCTTCAGATCACGCGTTGAGCTCTTTGGCTCGACATTAACAGTCTACCTCAAACAACTGACCCTCTATACTAAAGCTTATATACAGTGTTTAATCTCCTACAAAAGCAATCCATCCTTTGATTTCAATCTTACAATTCACTGTGTCATGCACATTAACGCCTCAACTCCCCGACTGTGTCACATTGTTCATTTGCAACTGACACCTGTGGTGAAGATGGAGAGGTCCCTTTCCTAACCACTGCCATAAATGTAACTTGAGGAAAACTCACATCGAGGGCTCAGAGTTCATGTTCTGTACCTACAACTGCCAAAAGCTACATTCTCCAATTCTCTCAAGTGTAAACTATCTATTGTAATTCCTAGTTTTCTTTATTTCCTCAACTCATCCATGCTTTTAATGAATGTATACTTGAGCAAAACTTTGAAAAAAGTGCGTGACCAAATGCAGCACCTATCCAACAATTACGGATGATTCTCCACTTGATTTCTTCAGTCTTTTTTCCAGTTTAATTCCAACTGTGCCATCGGCGTTATGAAGCAGAGTATCCACTTCGACCATGCGTAGAACAGTGAATCACTGCTGTTTGTCTGAGACTGCCCCACGGAAGGTGAGATCACAGAACTACCTTCTGACATCCATTCAAGTGAACATTGTATCAACACAATAAGGGAGCCCACTTTCCCGTATGCCCTGCTACAGAGAAATACATTTCATTCTCAGCGCTGGAATTTAGCCAAACACAGTAAAAAAACACATTGCTGTGGTGGTTTTGTGTGCAGTCTCTCCTCAAAGGCACAGAAGCCCAAGTCCCATCATGTAAAGTGTTTAAGTTACTGGAGTACCTGAGCTGGAATACCACGGCAACTTAACGTTTTCAAAACCCTTTCTCAAAACACAAATTAACGGGTGTGTGAAGTCTAAATGACAAATCCAAAACGCTCCTTCTTATTCCTAGCTCTTCTCTATGAGTTGCTCAACTGGCGGATGTATATTTTCTTACTAAAACCTTTTCCTGTTCAGTCAACAACAGTTAAACCACGAAAATACTGTTCTTCTACCTGCAGGCTTTAGTATGCAGCAAAACTATGGTAAACATAATACCTTCAATGCAAATAAAACATCCCTCTATAGTTACCAAACCTCTTTAATGATATATCGCTTTTTCCAGCACCGTGGTAACCACTTTCTCACCCCATGCAGCTTTACCATATGCAGTTCTTCTAGCATCTGTTGAGCTCCACCTTTCAACATCTGCAAATATCCAAAGTTTTCTCACTCCTTCCCACGACCGAAACAGATTTTTGCTGGGGTTTTTTTTTATACAACACATTGTGGAGAAACACATATATACTGTACATTAGAGGCATGTTTATGTTTTGGGAATTATTAATCGGTACCAAAATAAGTGAAGAATTTAATTGGCATGACGTTTTCATGACCAGTCACACGAATTTTCAACCACCTCTAACGTGAGCAGAAAATTACCTGAGAAATAAAACTTTAGCTGTACTGCAAAGTAACAAATGAATCCGAATACAGCAGCCGAGTGAGTAATCGGATCAAGGCAACTGGAGTTAAATCCATGGCAATGCCCTTACTTGCATTCCTCGTCCAGCAGGTGGAGCAGTCCTGTGGGTTTCTTGCTGATGAGGTTGATGCAGCCGAGGTTGTCTGTGTAATCAATGGTGTTCCAAAGAATGCCCTCCTTCTGGTATTCCTCCTGTGAAATATTGACATTCAGTTTGTGTCATTCCGCGTGCGTTCCTGAGATTCCCTGCATCACAAAGTAGTTCACGTGCAAGAGGAGCTTGTTCAACGAGAGACCTGGTAACAAATATTAATTCTGCACAAGGGAAAACTCGATGTCACATTTAAGAGGTCAAATCTGTAACACTGAGGATTAATGACACCACGTTGTTTTCAAAAGTTAAGAATAATGGAATGTACCAAGTGCACCTTATCTTGTGATGTGCTGGGGTTTTGGACATGAACAAGCAAATTTACAAAATAACAGCACATGCTCTCAGTTCTTCTGAAGTTAATCACATTTCGGTTTGAAAAGCCAACAAGACCAAATGCACAGGATTGGCCAATCTAATCATATCTAAATAACCAATGAGAAATGCACATATTATGCGGAAAAAAGCATCACAAAATTTAATTATTTGCTGTAAAATGCATGGTTATAATGTTACGATACTGTATTATGTGAGCTGTAAATGTTAGATCGCGCAAATATAAATGTGTCGTTAAGCCCGCCAACACCCGACACAGCCAATTATCAACGTTTGTCACATCAACAAAACATGCCAATTAGTTACCAGTTTAGTACACCGGTATGTTGGAGAGTAAACCCACAACATTTACAATTCAAGTACAATGTTTCCACCGGTAATTACAACCAGCATCATCCGGCGACAGCGAGAATAGTGGAGAAATCCTCCTGTTTCGGTCTTAGAGAGGTAAATGTGCTGTCGTCGCTGTGAGCCAATCAGGTGCAAAGACCAGAGGGGGAGGGGTTTATGTAGTCATATAAATCACAATGGATATATATATTATTCGTTGCGTTATTCACAGTTTATCAACAAAACATTGTCAACTTTAAACGTTTCCCTTTAAGGCAGCACCATTAACATGCCGAGTGTGTTTCTAATTGTGTACGATCTATAGGCATGAGAGCGCCACGTTAGTGTCGAAGAGCCTCGGAGAAACCCCAACTATAAAGGACGCTTTCATAGGAAGGTTTTCACTTGATGGTTCACTTGAAAGCTGTTCATAATGACATTGCTTTCCAAGGACACTGAACGGAAATTTGCATTGCGACAATAACGATGTGCATTTTTAGAGTCGCATACGCAGTACTTTGGTAATCAGTCGTGATGAGATGAAAATGTAATGTTGCCAAAAGGAAAGCCATTATTAAAAGTTAATTATTAAAAGCATTCCACTCATAGCCATCATCGCAATTCATTGGTGAAGTCGAGGCAGTTTTGTTTTCATTCTCAGCCATTTCATACCACATGCTTCAGGAAGCACTAACTAACCTTTGCCGATGCCATTATCTAAGCCCTAAGCGGTGACGTTCCGTAAGCATGCAAATGCGGTACGTTCGTCGACATGAAACACCCATTTGAGATTTAAAGAGCAGCTGAATGCAACCGCATCTCAAGATGCTGTACAAAAACAATGGCATGTGCATCATGAGGAAAGGCGGTGTGTGTACGCTTAAAAAAATGTTTAGACATTGATTGGCAGCGAGCAGAAGAGGAAGGCATTGAGAGTGGACAGGAACAGGGCCAGTGGGAGGGGGTCCAAGACGACAGACACAGCACAGGAGATAAGCAATCTCCCAAAGACCGAAGGTTGAATTGGGATTTCGCCAGGAGGCTTGCCAAAAAACCCCAAGTCAACCTTCCATGGAATTAAAGAACCAAATCAGGGTGTGTACACTTCAATAGCTTTGTCTGATATACACTTAGATGGTTCCTCTAAATTCAGGCACTAAAAAGACAGAAACAAACATATGTGCCACGTTTTTTTTTACACATCAAAAAATAAATTACTGAACTTTTACAGTTTTTATTAAACATTTTCGGTGTTCAAAAAACTCAACTGTATCAGAAACTATACAAATAATCTTGGGCCCATTGTCTTTTAAGCATGATAGCCAGAGCAAAGTTCAAACAAAAACCCCAAGAAGCCTGGAATTTCCTTTACAAAACAATTGACATCTGTAATCAAGGTGAGTTCTACTGAAACTTCACACTTGTTTTGAGACGAATTGGGTTATCCATTTTTTCCTTTCCAGAAAAGTGCTCAAAAGTTAAACGTTAATCTGCAGGTCACCTATTAATTTGGGAAAACAGCTTCAAGAATGCATCCAATGTGAATATAAGGGAGCTAACCGTGCACTGCAATGGCAATAAAGGCAGAAAGATCCCATGAGGGCAGACCATTGCCAGCTTCCCGAGCCCATAAATGGTCAGAGTATGGGACCGCGTTTCGACATTGACGAGCCGTCAGGTGTAATGGCTTCCACGGAACTCCCACACACAGCGTGGCCACTGAAGCGCAGATTCCCGTAATAAACACACCCGCCGCCGTGGCACCATCAACCCTGCCGAGCGAGTTAGGCTGCAAAGTTTGTAGTTTAACTGATGGAGGAGGCCGAGTTATACTTAACGTCCCCATAGGCTTGCCCGTGGAGAGGGCATTTTCAGTACCCAAAACGGATACGTTTGAACACGTTACTCAGCCATTTTTCATATTTAACAATGATGCATGGGCTGCCTCGCTAGGACTAAGTGCGTTAGTCACTGTTAATGGAAGCTCACCAAATGCAGAGAATGAATATTACAGAGAAGTGAGAGAAGCATTGTTTTAAATTCCACCAACGAGTCATTGTACTTTCAAACAAACTGTAAACTGTAATCCCAAAAATGATTCAAGAGACATTACCAATCGTAAACGAGGACTATCCTAACATATGCTGTGATGCACAAGTGTTAAGCATTCCAAAAACAATGGAAGTACTTTAATCCAAAGGAAATGTGTTGTAATGGAAGAAACTAGCTGCTTCATACGATTTATTTAACAGTTAAAATTTATCAACAAAAGATAGATTTAATATATGCTTTACAATAGCATTACTGTACATATTGTTATTCATTCAATTATGTGCATTCTGAATGGACTATTGTTTATTTAGAAAGAGTACAACACATTTAACGAGTTATTGATGGTAAAAAGTCATTTTAAACGACGTCTCAATGTTGTGACTGAACAATAAACTCGGCAATGGTTTAATTAAGATTAAAATGAATGCTAACACAACTAGAATGTGTGTGTCTGTATAGCATATCCATCCATGTTTATTCTCACGTATGCATGTTCAGAAAATGAGCGAAAAGCCAAAGCTGCTTTTCAACACAGAAACAGTTGAATGCATACATTATGTGGTGAATGCCGTCACAACTGAACAACCTTTTCGGCGAAATACAAAGTTTCCAATGTAACTGGAATACAGTGAGCAACAGGAGTTTAGAAACAGAACGGTAAATTCGGCAGGCTTTTGCATGATCAAACACATGTTCTCACCTCTAATGAGTAACCGACTGCCACAAAACCTTATGCGGATCAACACTTTAGTGCAGTGGCAAGATATCTTTCAAATCCCTGCATTTCTGGTGCTCAAGATATGCAGCAAGAGGGTGCAGGAAGAGAGTATTGCTGAAGGCATGCAAAGAATGAACAGATTGTGCTCACCTGCTCAATCTTGAATACATGTTGATTGAAGTAATACTGAAGACATTCATTGGCATAATTGATGCAGAACTGCTCAAAGCTGTTGTTTTCAAAGTCTTCAAAGCCGAAAATGTCCAGCACCCCGATGGAAAGACCCTGGGGGGGGGGGGGGGGGCAACAATCAAAAGGTAAAGCACTACAATGAAGCCTCGGGGTTACACAAATAGACAATGAGTGCCGAACACACAAATATACACACACATATACACACACACATATACACACACATATATACAACAACAACCGCCAATCGCCACTAAGTGGCGGTGACGTCACCACGACGCTTGTGCCAGGCCATGTGCACCTTGAGGCCACGTGAAGTGTCGAACGCCCGCTGGCAGGAGGTCACGGGGCAGACCCAAGTGCCACGGGTCGACTGACTAAGATGACTGAGATGACTGGCTGATGCACCACCTGTGCCCCCCAATGTGCCAACCTGCTGTGCTTTAGCCACCCGGCGCTCCGCTCGTTGTTGTGAGCGTCGCTCCTCCGCCCTCCGTTGTTGTTGAAGGGCGACTGCCTCCAACTGCCCAGTAGCGTCCTTCACGAGCCTCCTCCACAGAGGCCGATCTTGACACCGCTGGTACCAGTCATCGGCAAGTCCACTCAGCTCCACGTCCTCCGGTACCACATCACTCCATCTCTTCTCTAGCCCGTGCCGCGCCGGTTTAGCCCCCTCGATCCGGCCGAACAAAAGCTGTTTCGGCATGCGGTGGCTGGGCATGCGGGCTACATGACCCAGCCAACGCAGCCTTGCCTGCCGGAGGAGCTCACCGATAGGACCTTGCCCAGATCTTTCAAGGATTTGTGAGCTCCTCACACAATCCAGCCTGGTTAAACCCAGGATGGATCGTAGGCAGGCTAGCCTAAATGTTTCTAACCGGCAAAGATGTTCCATTAGGGGGGTCCACGTTTCGCAAGCGTAGAGAAGGGAGGGAATGACCGTGGCCGAGAAGACCTGAAGCTTAGTGCGGAGCGACAGACCAGGTAGCTTCCACACAGCGTTACGCAACCGATGAAAAGATATTGCCGCTCGACTGATTCGGAGTGAGACCTCTGCTGTTAAACTGGAGCCGGTCATAAGCACACTGCCCAGGTATGGGAAACTCTCCACTCTCTCCACAACTGTCCCATCACCGATTGGGAGTAGTGGGGGTGGAGTGTCCGATGGTACAAAATACCCAGGCAGGTGCTTAGTTTTGGTGGGGCTTATGGTAAGGCCCCATCTCTTAGTGGCACGCTCCAGTCTCAGCAGCAGCGTCTCCAACTCCTCCTCTGAATGAGCAGCTATTACCAAATCATCGGCATACATAACATGGTTGAGCAATAGGGAGCCATTCCTTGACCGCACCCGGGCATCGATCAGCCTCCCATTATATCTGTACCAAATGGAGATTCCCCCGGTACAGCTATTGAAGGCTTCACGAACTACGTGGTCAAAATAGATGTTAAATAATGTGGGAGCCAGAGGACATCCCTGTCGTACCCCAAGGTGTACAGGGAATGAATCTGACTCCCGGCCACATAGTTTTACCCGGGCCCGCTCACCATCATGAAGGTCCTTAATGATCGTGAGTAGAGGGTTAGGGACTCCAAAAGCACGAAGAACAACCCAGAGCCCAGGCCAACTGATGGTATCATAGGCCTTGACCAGGTCAATAAAGCAGAGATGTAGGTCTTGCTGGAATTCCGTATACCTCTGCTGTAGCAGACGGACATAAAATATGGCATCTTGCAGGACCGCCCTTTCCTGAAACCACATTGGGGCTCCGCAAGCCTCTCCTCAGCATGCCTAGCAAGGCGATGTTGAATAATCCTTGCCAGGACCTTTCCCGGCACACTGAGGAGTGAGATGCCCCTGTAGTTGTTACAGTCTGTGCGGTCCCCCTTCTTAAAGAGGGGGACCACCAAGGCATCCTTCCAATCCTGCGGAACCCGTCCAGTGGTCCAGACTGTTGTTATGATGTCATATAGGGCAGTCTGTGCACAAACGCCACCCTCCCTCAGCATTTCGCTTGGGAGATCATCTCTGCCTGGTGCCTTTCCTGGTCTCAGACTCCGGATCGCCTTCAGTACTTCCTCAACAGATGGCACCTCAGCCAGCCACTCACAGGGGGTGACTTCCTCCAATATATGAGGCACCGCAGCCTCAGCAGGGTCATCCCCACTTTGTGCCACGATGTTTTCCTGGCGGAGGGATTTCCCCCCCCCCAGGACCTCACAGAAATGCTCAGCACATCTGCAAACCTGTTCCTGGGGGTCGGAGATTGGATCACCGTTTTTTCCCCTAATGATGGTAATAGGTGTGGCGCTGCAGGTTACTTTTTTGATGGAGGTAAATAGAGATTTGTGATCGCGGGCCACTGAGGCAGACTCCATCTCCTCAGCAACCCGCGACCACCACCCATCCTTGCAGCGCCTCACGGCTCTCCGAACCTCCGAGCGAAGGCTGCGGAAATCCTCATTCTCTGACGTGGGATTCTGTAGCCGATGACAGTGGGCCTGTCGCTTTTTCTCAACTATCCTGAACACCTCCTCTGTCAGCCAGGGTCTCTGGGGAGGTCTGGACCACGTACCCAAAGCAGCCATTGCAGCTGCATGAGTCACAGTCCTAAACCTCGCCCATTTACCCTCGACATCAGGAGGATTGGGGGACGATGCCAACTCCAGCCGCAAGCGATGATGAAATTCTCGCTTGCAACTTTCATCAGATAACTGAGACCAGGCTACTTTAGGTTGGAATGGGGTCCTGGGTGTACACCCAGCACCGGAGTGGAAGAATGGAAGGCACATCTTACAGATGACTAGTCGATGGTCAGAGGGCAGATCAGCTCCACGGTAGGTCCTGGTGTCCAGGACATGGGCTCACATCCGCTGGTCCGTCACTATGTAGTCCAGCAGATGTTCTTGCTTGGACCCGGCATGCATCCATGATGTTGTGTGGATGCGCCGATGCCGGAACAGCGTGTTGGTAATTACAAGCCCATGGGCTGCACAAAAATCTAGCAGCCTCCTACCGTTGTTATTGAGCTGATCTGGCCCATGCCCTCCAATCACTCCAGACCAGGTACCAGCATCATGACCAACTCGGGCATTGAAGTCACCCAACAAGATGACTCTATCCCGAGCCAGTACCTGTGACAGAAGGTCATAGAAGGCATCTGACTCATCAGCTTTGCCTGCATGAATGTTCGTCTTTGGTGGGGGCATAAGTAACCACGACCAACACTCCTCGACTCCGGTTGAGGGGAAGGTGAGCCCAAAGTAGCCTGGGGCTTACAGCTTCCCATACCTCACCGCCACGCTCCCATGCCCCCTTCATTCTTTTGTTCAAAAGAAGAGCCACACCCTGTTGTTTGGCAGTCTGCTGCCCCGAGTAGAGAACTGTCCACCCCTCATGGTGGCAGGAGCCAGAACCGGTCCACCGGACCTCCTGAATGCCACAGAGATCCAGGCGGTACCGGTCCAGCTCCCTACAGAGGAGTGGCAGCCTCTCCTCTGCAGTGAGCGTTTGAACATTCCACATGGCTACACGAAGTGGCTTTTTGTTGTTTCTGGAGGAGCCCCGAGGGTAGAGATTCAATCTCCTGGCTCCGCCAATTGGGGTTTGGCCAGGAGACGTCATAGACGCCTGTCCCCCCGGGGCCTCCGGCACAAGCTTACTGTTTTATTAGTGGTTTCGTGGTAAAAATGTTGAAGGTGGAGGGGTTACCAGCCCCTCGCACCCGTCCAGAGCCCCCGTTTAGCCACTGTGGTGGTCACAGACACCATGAGAGGAGGGGCCAATCGGAATTGGCCCTCCCCCCACAGCACTGTCCACGACAGAGTTTCCCGTCCGGCACATATATACACACACATATACACACACACACATACACACACATATATATACACACACACACACATATATATACACACACACACACACAAATATACATACACAAATATACACACACACATATATACACACACAAATGTTTATTGTCTTTTAAACAGCTCAAGAGCTCAGAGCATTCATCCTCCTGTCACAAGGGGCGATCGGTCACATTTTATTTCCCCACGCGATTTGTTGTTTTATTTGCTGTTATGTTTGGTGTTATATTTCATGTTTATACTTGGCATTATCCATAATGGACGATTTTTCGCATTAGCTCGCATAAATATATAAATGTGTAGTTAAACCCGCCACCACCCGACACAGCCAACTAGTAAGGGTTGTCACGTAAACAGAACGTGGCCAATTCATCACGAGTACAGCACACCGGTGTGTTGGAGAGCGAAGCCACAGCATTTACAATCTGAGTACGACGTTTCGCCAGTAATTACAACTAGCTTCATCAGGCGACAGCCAGATTTGTGAAGTCCACCTCTTTCATTCCTTATAAAGAGGCGTAGACGTGGTGACCATGCTTGTGCGCTCTTGTGCACAGTGTGGGTGGGGGGGGATTACTGAGTCAACGTACATTATGCATGCACATTATACGAACCCTTTGATCTTGTCCTTACTGTCCATTGTGTGTATTAAAATAACCTACCAAGGGTAATCCCTTTTGATGAAGTATGCTGGCCTGTATAGGCATGCATTTAACCAATGTATTATTTGATGATTCGCTTCCACGCAGCACTAAGTCGGTAACTATCCGAACGGTTAAATTATTTTTTATTTATTTCAATTTCGATAGATTCTCTAATTAGTCTTGACCAGTAGGAGCTAGTTTTGCACAGAACTTCAACATTATCGAAATCAATTGAGTGTCCTTGTTGGCATGCGTGTTCTGCTACTGCTGACAGTTGTATTTGGGAGGATTTAATATTTCTCTGATGTTCTTTCAGTCTCGTGCTGATCATTCGTCCTGTTTGCCCGACATAACATTTTCCACAAGTACAGTTAATCCTGTACACACCTTCTGTTGATAGCTTTGGTAATACATCTTTTGTACCAGATATGAATTTCTTAATTTTATGTACCGTGCCAAATCTGACTCAGATGTTTTGTTTTTCCAAACATCTGGCTAGTTTATTAGTTACTCCCGCAATGTACGGTATTTTGATCGGACAGGGTCGAAATGGTAAAATAACACAGCGTTTACGGAAAG